CAGGCCTGGGGGTTTACGATGACCTTTTCAAGGACTGGACGACCCCTAGTTAAAATAGCTGTAGTACTCAGAACCGTCCTGGTAACGATGCGAAATGCCATAAGAACACAACGCCTATCAGATTATCAGGAATAGTTGCATGTACCGCTATATCACCACAGTTGCCATTTCATTTCCAGTCCTCTTTTCCACTGGATTCTCCATTACTGGGGTAATCCCCAAATCCAGCAAAAGCCCTAAACCCTGTGCTTCTGCTCCCACCGCATGGAGTCCTCTACCGCCGGTCTAGGGATCTCCGTCGTTTGATGTGGGCCACCTGTGCTTCTGATTGGCACTGCAAAACCTTGAACAAAGCCTTTGGGAAGCTCCCATGTGGGGGTTTCCCAAAATTAGGGTTACCTTTTTGGGGGTCCCATTAATAAGGACTATAGTATTGTTGGGATCTATACTGGGGTCCCCTCATTAAGGGAAACTACCATGTCTTGCGAAGCAGGTGCCTGTGCGGCGCCAGAAGAAAGGGGGCGCAGCCTACCGCAAGCAAATGGCGCTGCTGTGTTCTGTTGGGCAATCTCAAACTGTGGGGGCCTGTGCTAGAACTGGGATTCCTACATACCCTCCTCAAATAATGGGATCGTTGGAATGCTGCATGTAGCGCACTATGGGAAGAGGATGCTTTTCCTAAACTGAACCCTAAACCCTAAGCCTAAAGCCTCACCCTCAAAGAGCCCTGCTTCCAACGCCTGCGCAGGTACCGGATTTCGGTTGCCTGGTCGGCCGTGCAATGCTCACAGACCATCTTTCAAGCTTAACGTTTGTGCAGTCAAGGGGGTTTGGTTTCCCAAGAATACGAATACCATTCTGAGGGTCCCCATAAAAAGGACGATAATATTTTGGTGTCTATATTGGATTCCCCCATTCTGGGACACTGCCTAACCTAATAGACGTGTCCAACATGTGCCATTACTTTTGACGGGTATATGATACTACTAAGGCGTCCGTTTTTTGCGGGAGGTCGGTACCCACATCTACCTGCGGAGTCAAGGGACTTAGTTAATGTACCGAGAACCCGCAAACCCACGCAATAACCACAGTTATCCCCAGAATTAACCTGCTCATTTCCCCTCTGTTTTTCCGTTTGATTCTCCATTCTTGGGGGTTATAAGCCTAAACCCTAAGCCCCAAACCCTGAATGATATTGAAGTTTCAGTTTTCTTTTCCATTCTTCCCAGTATTGGGGGGTAATAATCCTACACTCCAGAAGCCATGTGGGTGGTTGTCAAAATTATGGTCCCCTTTTGGGTACCCTAAATACTAGGTGCCGTATTATAATAGGGACCCAAAGAGGGACTATGATTTTGACAACCCCCCATGTCTTGATCTGCAGATGTGAGCTTGGCCTGAAGATGGCGCAGGAAGACTTCGGCTACTTGGGTCCTCCAGCAGAAATTTTGGCACCCCGGAAAGTCCTAAACACATGGTTTAGGGGATGTTTAGGGTTTTTTTTGGGATCATTTCCCAAAGAGTGGAGAATCAAATGGACAAGGCAACGGAAAATGA